TATATATATATACTCCAATTTGATTTTGTTTGATTTCTTTAAACTACATGAATGTAGTTTACGTTGCACGTTCGTTTTTTAAAAAACATTCCACCTTTATTGGGCTAAACTACGGCTCTCTGATAGCACTGAGAGTGTTAGCCCGATTTATATTTATTTATTTATTTATCTATTTATCTAAATATCTATCTATCTTATATTATTATTTATTTATCTAAATATCGAGTGGTTATCACTAAACACAGCATCAAGTTTTACAATACTGCTATTCGACAAGTTTATTTGCAAGTTGTACGCAAATTTATGATTGGTTGTTTAAAGCAATAGTCATATGATAAGCTCTCTTACCATTAGCTAAATTTCGATCAAACGGATAAAATAATGATTCTCACGATGATGAGAATCATTGCATAAGAGAACTATTAAAATATAAATAGTTACCTGTTATTCTACCTATTCTTGGTATCTGATCTCCAACATATCCTGCAGCATGTGCTCCCAAATTGTAGCCTATCAAGTGTATATCGGATGGTGGAATTCGATATTTTCTCTAAAATAGAACGATTCAGTTTAGTAAAAACAAACGAGATTTCCAAAATAAACAATATGGGATTGCCACAGGCGACTAAAAATGCAAAAAAAACTAATAAAATTTAGAGTTTTATGTAAAGAGATGAAAATGAACCTTTTTTTCAAGCATAATTTTGTTCAGTTTGCTATTGAAAGTGAATGCATGGACTGTTCTTGCTTTAAATGTGAATAATTTGATGTTACAGTGATAGTTACTATTAAATGATTAAATAAATAAAAAAATAAGCAAAAATGAATTGAGTTTTTAATTTTTATTTACCGGTGGCATCCCAGAGATTAGTACGTGTGGAATTTCTATAAAATTTTATTTTTATATATATAGTAAATTTTATACTCTTTTATTTGGATTAACGAAGAACAACACTGTAGAAGACGGTAAAAAATTTTTGATGATTGTAATGAGTTTATTTTAGTGCATATTTTTTATCTAATTGAACATATTTCAATCTTCATTTACAAAACGAAAGATTTAAAAATTCAGTAATTATACACTACAATGTTTATAACTTAATTTTTAAAATTAATCAGAATTTGCTGTACTCTTAAGTAGAAAAAAATTAAATCAATTTGATTCTGTTTTGATTTTTTTTAAATACGAAAGTAGTTTCCGTTGCACGTAGAAGTTTTTAAAAATGAATTTTTTCAGAAAATGGCTGCATTTTGAAAGAAAAATTCTAAAGTTGGCAGAAAATAAGCTGCAGTAAAAAAGCTTCATTTTCATGGATTACTCAAAATCAGTCGCCACAACTAACGATCCCATTTTTCGGTTTATGGCAACTAATGTTCAACTCCGTAGCCTTCTAAACTTGAATCCAGAAGACAAATTATCAATTATTGGGAGAAATTTGCCTTCGTGAGGACTTTTTCATGGAACTAACCCGGGTTTGTGTTACATGGTGAGGAAAACACGAAGACCAACTTGAATAGCCGGACGGTAAGGGGCTCTAACCCATGATCCGTCAAACACTGAGGATATTTTACTTCAGCACTGTGGTCGGTGCGAGCTGGGGGCGGATTTCGTATCAACCAGTCATCTATGGGATGCGAACCCAATTAACCTTATTGGAAGGTGAACGCTCTATCTTCCTTGCCACCAAGGCTCTTTCGTATTTTTATTTTTACTTTATAACCGTCGTTAAACAACTAATCCAAATTTTTGGGCTTGTAACAAGTAATGTCATCATAGCCTTGTAATTTTGAATCTAATTCAGAAACCAAGGGAACTCCTGGATCAAGTATTGGGAGAAATCTGCCTTCGTGGAGGACTTATTGATGAAACTAACCCGTATTTGCGTTACATGAAGAGGAAAATCACTAAAACCTTTCACGGTTAGCTTGACGGCACTAACCAATGATCCGTCTACCACTGAGGATATTTTACGTCAGCACTGTGGTCGGTACGGGCCGGGGAAATTCGTATTGACCAACCATCACTGGGATTTGAACCAGCCTCACCTCATTAGAAGTCAAACACTCTATTCCCTGAACCACCACGGTTCTTCCGTATTTTAAGAAAATATATTTTTCTGGTAATATTTTCCCAAAAATGATATATTGGTATTTATATAAATTATTAGATCCACCGGAAAGTTCTGTCCGTGATAACACATGCTTCCTTTTATAGTAATGCAAAAGATTCTCGTATAAAAAAGTTATTGAGATTTGCACTTTAACTCAATGATAATGTTCTAGTTTAAAGAGACGTAACATGCATGGTGCAAAAAAGCATGTTCAAACATATTCAAACTCGTGACGAAAGTATGTGACTGAATCAAGCGGTACATCTGATCTATACTTTTATTTAACAGTAAATGCTCAACCTCTTCTTTTTTATAAAGACACATTTTGCATCTTTGAGTAACGGGGAGGGGGGCGAATTCTTTCACAGACAGAGTTTCCGGTAAACCTAATATAGTTAAAAGAATTTTGTCCGCCACCACACATAAATAATTTAAACAAACAAAATAAAAATAAAAAGACAGAAAACTGTCTTTTCTTGTTCTTAAGCTCTAATAAAATTTTATTAGAATTCTTCTTGTTTTAAAACTTTCTTCTTTAATTCGCTGCCACTAGGAAAATTATTTCGCATAAGTTCCGAATGTTGTAGGGTATGGATCTGAATCTTTCGCAAACTTTACGATAGCAGTAATTTTCTTAAGTTGTCTGAGCAAAGAACGGAGATGCCAAATTGCTTCCCTTTGAGAAGATATTTTATCTAGCGGTAGCAAACTTTTGGTGTACAAACTTCATCTTAATAAAATTGTTTTTTAACACATTGCAAGTGGGTCACGTAAAAATAAGTTTTTAAAATATGTGCTACCATACAAAAGTTATCATACAAAATCATATATCATACAAAATCATATATCATGCAAAAGTTTAAAAAGGGGTAGCAAAACTACTTTGTTTCCCATTTGTTTTTCAGGGAAATTATCCATTCGTGATTACTACAGACATAAATGATTCAGCATATGTGTAATTAGTACTACAGTAGTTCGTCGTATCTTTTTTTTAAATTTATGTTGCAGCAATAATGACACGTTTGCTCCACCTTTTATGAAATATTGGTTACCACTTTTTTTAAAATTTTGATCTATAACATCCGTAACACATTTTTTGGAAAAGTTTCCCGCATACAATGTGTCAACTGTTTCACCAGTCACAATATATAAATAATTCGAAATTTTGCGTTACAACTCCACTACATTTCCGTTATGTCGTTCTGTGCTTTAAAGTAACGACGAAATTTCTGCAACTTTTATTCTTTAATTCTGAATTAATTAATAAAATATTTTCCCAAAAGTGGAGCAGTTGGCCTCCCAAACCAATGCCTCCTATAACTGAAAGCCTCCACACAGTTTTTTACAGGTAGTCCGATCTGACCACTGTAAAGGATATCCTCTTACCGAACGAGCCATTTAATACAGAATATAGTTAAAAATATAGTTTTATTTATGAATATAGTGTATAATATTACAGAATATAGTTTTATTTATCATTGGTTTGCCTTATTCATTTGTCAACCACTACAGATTCAATTCTCAAATATATAAGATAAATTTCTCTCAATTACTTTTATAAAAGGTTTCGGGTTCATGCGCACAACTGGCTCACTTTTTAAACAGCCTGCGCGGACTACTTATAAAAGACCGTGTGGAGGCTTCTTGATGTAGGAGGTGATGCCCAAACACTTCCCTTATCCAACGATTCCTATAACTGAAACCTCCACACGGTTTTTTATAGGTAGACCGATCAGACCACTATAAAGGTAAACCAATTTACGAAAGAGATATTTAATAGAAAATCTATTAAAAATTTTAAAGTGGTAGCAAATATATGCCTAAAAAATTTTGTAATTTATGAATATGATTGGTTTGTCCTATTTATTTGTCAACCACTACAGATTCAATTCTCAAATATATATGATACATTATTCTCAATTACTTCTAAAATAGAAATCGAGTTCCTGCTCGCAACTGGTTCGCTTTTTAAAAAATTTGGGCAGACTGCTTACAAAATCCGGTGTGGAAGCTTTCTGAAGTAGGAGGGGATGCCTCAGGTGTCCAGATATTTCATACAATTCAGTTCAGCCAAATGTTCTTTCATCTTTTCGAGACAGGCGAGTCATAAATGTATTCGTCCGGAATCAGAATAGTAAAAAATAAAAAGCGGTTGCTTAAGTTTGCGCATCGCTAATTTGACGAACTTATTTTTGCTCTCACTTTAAATCTAACACAACCAATCCTTGTGTGTAAAAAGAGTAACTATACAGTTTTTAATTCGAACTAAGTAGTGGTGAATTAAAAAAACCAATTTATTATTTCCCCGTATACAAATAAACTGCTATTAAAATTATTTAGCTACCAGTTCTTTTTCACCCTGATTATAGCCCGGAGAATGCATAATGACTCTCCCATCTCGAAGAGGTTAAAAGCTAAAGTGATTAGCAACAGAACGAAACTAAGTTATTAGTATCAGTCGCCACA